AAAAATAACTGTGTTTGTGCGAGAAAGTACGAAACCGCCGAATTGTCGAAATGTTCGACGTCGACGAGCTGGACAACGAGGTGCGGCGTTCGGCGGACAGCAACAAAGATGCTTCGGCGACGTCAGACGACAAACCGCGCCGATCCCAGTGATAGATGCTTCTAGCTATACTTGAAGCGTTATGGAACATTATGTTGTGTTGGCAACGTTCATGGAATTCTCGTTGCTACTAACTATCGCCTGTTCCCGCAGCCTCCAGAGCAGCTTGCTACTTGGCATATAAATCTCCATGATGTCAGTCCAACCCCCATCGCCGCATAGTAACATGGGGTGTTGCGGGTGGAATTGGCTGGATTGACAAAGCAAACCAGATTACTTTTCGGTATTCTCCGCATGGATTTTCTCGACGAGTACATTTTGACTTGCAACCCTGAGCGATGTTCACATAAGAACGCGTGGTAACCTAGCCGAGTGACGTGGTCGCCGCCAACGTGGCCACTCCCATGAAATGATGGGGCATGACGACCTTTACGACAGTTTACAAATGACATGGTGAAACGAGACAACCTCACATTTACACTCTAAATTAGTAACGTTAGTATTGATTTGTGTTAAGCTGAACATTAGCGAAAAAGTGTCCAAAGGTGTCTACGCCACGATCGCCGTGCCCGGTACATTACCGTGGTGGAGACCCCCACGTCCTTGCAGACATCGCCCAACACAATCACATAGCACTCTGCACGCAAACCAAAGTTTGCCGTTTCAAGAATTATAGAGTACTACTACTAATCTCATGTACTACGTCTACTGTAAGGTAGTCGTCGCCAGCATCGCCCTCAGATCCGGCCCCCAGAGACCTCAGCTTTGGCATGGCCACCAAAAACAAATTGTCAAGATTGGCTCATGAATTTACAGTAACGTTACTGTAGTGAGTAATATGCTCGTCAGTGATATTGCGCAGAAATTGATGTCGTGTGACTCATTCATGAAACGTCACGGCCTGCGTACTGGTGACGTTGACGTAACGTTAGTACTTATTATTTTCACGACTATAAACCATCCTTATTGGCCCATACATTTGTGACTTATGACTACTGTACAGTACCATGAAGATGGACCCTTACTTTGATACTACAACAGGTAGCTACCTGGTAGGCTCGGCGTGTCCATGAGGTTTACATACTAGTATATATATCACTGCACATTTCAACGCGATTGTCAGCAATTGGTATTACGTTGAAATGGTTAGTTAATACTCGCAATTACACCGTCGGGAGACTAATGTATTCGCCCAACCGGCCGTTTGCAAATCCGCCGGCACGATTCTGCGCATGTTCGAGGGTGCCGGACGCCTTGTCTTCGTTCTCTGGGACATCGTTTTCGTCACGGAGCCACTTGTCAGTTGTGTGATACAAGGACAGGTAGCTGCGCCCGACCAGCGGCACGTTTTCAATCGCGTCAAAAAAGTGAATGCGGCCGACGCGGAGGTACATCACATGCGACGCCCACTCCTCCATGCCGTCAAATACATGCGATGCTAGGATCACCTAGAAAAAAGAGCAAAGATCAATATCGTGTTTTATATATAGGCCAACAAGTTGAGTACAAGAGTTGTAAGGTGTAGGATGATACATCGTAGTATATATATTTATGGGATATATACCGTGGCTTTCAATGGCCCTTCGCTTTCGCGGCGGAGAAACTCGAGCACGTTCACGCGAGATACAATGTCCAGACTACCCAGTACTTCGTCCAGCACAATCAACTGCGATGGACGTAACAACGCTAGGAACAGCTGCACGCGGCATCGCTGTCCTGTTGACAGCTACGTTTTGATAGTGACAAAAGGGTCGAGTTTATGTATTTATCGTGAAAAGGGTGGAGTGGTAAGGACAATCTACTTTGAAGGACATGCTAACAATTTAGTAACAAATGGCAAAAGTGGGAGTATTGAGTACTAATCTTTGTATAGTACATTAGTTTGTACAAGCTTCATGAGATCCAATGGATTCGAATGCTCAGTATTTGGCGAAATGACTCAAAAGTCCAGATTGGGGTGAAATGCACAATACAAACTCATACAATCCCCACATAGTATCTGCGAGGGAGTGAGCGGTCGGGGACTGCTTACCTTGTGCATCCGCCATGACGTGTCGATGCGGAGGCACGTCAACAGCTCGAGGCGGCGTTCCGGGTACGTTTTTTGCAGCACGACCATCATTTCGTCCACGGCAATGTCGGCGGCGTACGCGGCGGCATGAGTCGCGAACGCGATGGATCGCGTACCCCAATCTGCCGCCGCCATGGTGCGCTGGAGGTTCAGGCGCGTGTCCCGGAAGCTGTCGCGGCGGCCCAATTGCCAACACATGCCTACGCGTACGCATGAGGCTTTATGGATGCACACATGTGGGTATATATATATACTAGTATATATATGCTTGCAAGCAAGTCGTACCGTGGGTCGGTAAATGCTTGCCGCCAACGATCTTGAGCAGAGTGCTCTTGCCAGCGCCGTTGCCCCCGACCAACAGAATACGTTGGCCAGCGTGCAACTTGCAGTTGATGTTCTTGAGCACGTGGCCTGCGGTGTAGTTGACGCCCGCAAATTGCTCGACGTATTGAAAGTCCAAGTTTTCAAACTAACAGTTAGACGACGGAAATGACAAAGTTGTCCGGAGTAGATATGTGATATGGAGGAGGATGCTGGTCGTACTTCCATAGAGACGGTCGACATGGTCGAGTCGTGGTGGTCGTGGTCGTGGTGGGGATAGAATGCCAATGTCGAAATGAATAGTATAAATGTGATGGATGACCATTTTCTTGCCTGGACTTCGGAGCTCGCCGCCGTAAGTTACCAACAACTACGGTTTGGCATGATCATGTGATTGGATTTCCTTGGCTTTTAACGAATCAAACTGGGATGATGTGTGGAATTACTGCCAATGATACTCAACTATTTGCTTGTGAAGCGCGATGAAGTTCAACGTTAATTACACATATATCAAGTGTCCAACGAACCTTCCATGGAAGTTTTCCCATGTAATTACGTATTGAACATTAAAACGAAGCAATCTATGACAGATTGTTACGTGCTGACAACATTTCAAGGGGCTGCAGTACGTGCATTACTAGACGTTCGATACAGCCCACTACACCATTTTGAGTTTAATTTCAGCTTTATTTCCACCAACAGCGGATATATTTCACCTAACCCCCATTTTAATTCACCCAACCTCCATTATATTCCATGCCGAATTGAAGTTTGTGTGGACATAAAACGGCTCAAGGCGAGTCGTGTACACATGCAAACGCTTCGGCTCAATTGCTATTTCATTGTTGTGTTAAATACGATACACATGGACTGAATACCTGCAATTGCCACGTCCGCTGTGTGTTCCCAAGTATGCGAAACTCATTACGAGTTATATTCCATGCCGAATTGAAGTTTGTGTGGACATAAAACGGCTCAAGGCGAGTCGTGTACACATGCAAACGCTTCGGCTCAATTGCTATTTCATTGTTGTGTTAAATACGATACACATGGACTGAATACCTGCAATTGCCACGTCCGCTGTGTGTTCCCAAGTATGCGAAACTCATTACGAGTTTGACCATCGGTGGCGGCCACATAGGGAAAAGATTATTTTCGAGCAAACGATGGATTATTTCCGAGCGAGGCTTCGGGATGGAGCATTTTAGAGCGTACTTAAAAAGTTGGGGTATTTTCGAGCGTACCTAGTAGGGACATAAGCTGTTGTGA